CAAGGCGTCAGGGTTCTTGATCAATTATGACTGTTCTCACAAAAAGGAACAAAAAATCATTTTAATTTCTGAGAAGGAATTTTGCACTTCATTTCTTCTTGCATGAGGCAGTTGATATTTTTAATTTAATTTATTAGCAGAAGGCAAGGAGGGAAGTGCTTTTCTCCATGAGAGTTAATTTATTACAAGGTGAGATGGTTTCCCAGGGAAAGTTGCATAAACTACTGAAACGACAGAGAAAAATGTACTGGTTTAAAGAGGTAAATGAAGGAACAGCACAGAATTCTGTCTTTTGTGAAGACTTTGAATAGCTTTGGGCTTGTGGAGTTCTAACGTTAAACACCTATTAAGGCTGCTTTCTCCTCAGCCCCAGTTGCTACTAACTCTTCTGTGGCCAGCTGCCTAGAACCCTTCGTGGACAAGGGTGTTGGTTTACAGTGCGTGAGTCAGGCATCGTGCTTGGAAGACTTTGACTGCAATTTTTTGCACCCCGAGAGTACTTCCGGTTTCATAGGGGACACAGTTCCCAGTTCCAACAAGGGAGACCCATCCACAACAACTGCCTGTGTGTTAGATTGTCCAGTTTTGCCCTCTGAGTCTGTGTACGTGTGCATGCAAAAAAAAAAAAAAGCCTTCCCCACCCATCAGCACATCTGGAACCTTTGGCTCCTTCTGCTGCTCACACACCATCATACTGGTGGTCAATACAGTCAGCTATATTTTGTTGCACGTGTCTTGACTGAATTCCTCCTAATGGAATACACATGGTCTGTACTGGCAGCACTTATTCTTTGAGGTGAGAGAGGGAAAGGTGCAAAGACCATCCACTGCTCAACAACCTCTTTGAATGAGGGCAAATGCATTTTAATTCAAGGATGTGTAAACCTGCTTGTTTAATTGGAGGAGGTTTATAATCTTAGAATACATTGTAAGTGCCTGTGGGTCAGAAAGGGGAGGGCCATCATTCCTAATTGAGTCTATGTTAGAAAAGGAGAATATGGTTAATGTAGAAGTGGTTTGAATATGAGAGAATAGTCATACATCATGAAGAATTTACACAACATATTTTCCACTTGTGTTGTTTGTCAAAGACACCAACAGGCTTATGGTGTTGTCTTTTCATGTTTTCCCAGTCTTAGCTCTCTTATATGCTCACTGAGAGAAAAGCTTAGATCCAAGCAGAAGTTCATTGACTGCGAGGATGTCTAAAAGCTTTGTCGCTCATTAGCATCTTCCCATTAAAAGGCAGATTTACACACCGGAGTCTTAATAGGAGATGACATGTAGTGGCACCCAACTGCCATTGTTTTCAGGCAACCAAGCCAGGTAAGGAAACAGCAGGGTTTCGCCCCAAACATTTATATCCTACTAGGCTAAAGGTGCATCTTGGGATCCCAAACAGCTGGGTTTCGCCCCCAACATTTATATCCTTCTACTAGGCTAAAGGTGCATCTTGGGATCCCTCACTGCCAGTTGCTTGGACTGGCTGTTGGGAAAAGTCAAGTAAGTTTTGTCCTGTGTGGTCAAGAGCATTGGGGACTGCAGACAGCTGGTGCTTTGGAAGGACCAATGGGAATACCTGAATTAAGAGGCCAGCCCTACAGATCTGTTAATTGGTAGAGGTTCACACAGCATTCCTGTATTTTGAGTGCAGAGCATGTGATAGAGCCAACCGGGACAGGTTGAGAGGAAAGGAAAAAAGGAGTAACTGCTGGAAAATGAAAGCCCATGTCCCTCAACCAGCCCCATGGAAAACTGAGGGATGTCCTCACTGCATAAGCCTTATGGGGCTTGTAATAGCATCTGTAGTTGGATATCTGGGACCAAACATCAGAGAGTAGTCACTAGCTGTTTTTTTTTGCACTTCTACTTAAATGTACTGTACTGTAAATCTCTCATGATTTGTTTAAGTGTCCTTTAAAAAAAAAGAAATCAAAAAATGTATTTATTATATGTTTATACTTCTGGGAGGGAAGATAAGAAAACTAGGCAGGTAACCAACTAAAAATAGTTATTTAATTCTTTTTAAAAGAAACTTCTTCAGAATAATGGGAGTTCACATTGAGAAAAGCTATGGTAATACCATTAATGTTCAGCTACCGAATGGTGAGGCATTGGACTTTAATATGTTCTGTTTACATGTCTGGATTGTCTCTTGAATCTGTTCCTTCATTACACACGGGCTTTCAATATTTGTGAAATTGTTAAGATGTAGCAAGAGAAATAAAATTCCACTGTATGTATAAAAATACCTAGCATTGTTTGTATACGTTCAGATTTATTATCTAATGCAGTGGTCCCTAACCTTTTCTGAACCGCAGACCGGTTGGCAGGGCGGGATCTGTGCGCAAGCGGGTGGGGAACCCATGGACGTGCGTGAGTGGGTGGGGGCACCTGCGCATGTACGTGTGGGGAGGCAGGGCACGCATGTGTGCATGCATGGGTGGACAGGGCACACACGGGTGATGGGCACCCGTGTGCACATATGTGGGGTGGCGTGATGTGGCGTGCAGGGGCTATGTGCAGGGGGTGTACATGCGGGGGGGGAGGAGATCTGTCTCCATGGCGCAGTCCTGCCACAGCCCAGTACTGGGGGTTGGGGACCCTGGATCTAATGGAACACTTTGAAAATAAATGAAAAAAAAAACATGAGATGGGAAATGCACTCTTTTCTACATACCTGGACAGCAAAAGGGAACAATCTTCAGTCCTCAGCTGTTTGGGACTCCCATTCCCATAATCCGCTAGTCATGTTGGCTGCAGATTTTCGTGAGCTCAGGCCCAAAACATCTGATTTTTTTTCACCCGTTCTCTCTTCTTCCTCTTTTGCTATTGTTAGATATAGCTAGTTATCAAAATTGCTTTCCTGGCTCTAGCTCACATCTCTGTTTCCCTCGTGGGCTGCAAGCTGCCCCATGTTATCTGTCTTTCCAGAGCAGGTGGTTCAGTGAAAAGGTCTTTGAGTCTACCCATTAGTTCTGGGGAAGACCAAGCATGACCCTAGGAATTATTTTGGCCTGCAGTTCCTGTCAGCCTATAGCAATGGTTCTTAACCTTGGCTCCCCAGATGTTCTTGTACTAAAGCTCCCAGAAGCCTTCACATCCACAGCTTGGGCCCTGGATACCTGAAGGACCGCCTCCTTCCATATGAACCTACCCGGCAGTTAAGATCTAGCCAGAGGGCCCTTTTGAAAGAGCCATCCCTCAAGGAGGTAAGAGGGATGGCTTGTAGACAAAGGGCCTTTTCGGCAGCTGTCCCCAGACTATGGAATGCCCTCCCGACTGAGATTCGTCTGGTGCCGACGCTGATGACATTTTGGCGCCAGGACAAAACCTTCCTGTTCCAGAAGGGTTTTAATTGAAATAATATTAGCTGTGGGTCTGATGGCAATTTTTATATATATTTTAATTGTATTTTAATTGTTCTAAATTTTATTGTATTTTAAATGTTGTAAGCCGCCCAGAGACCTTTGGGTAGTGTGGGCGGCATATAAATCAAATCTAATAATAATAATAATAATAATAATAATAATAATAATAATAATAATAATAATAATAATGATCATAATAATAATGATAATGATAATGATAATGATAATGATAATGATAATGATGGTAATAATAATAGCTAGTATTTCCGGGAATTCTAGTCCAGTAGCCTCTTACTGGCCCATAGCATTGTCAATGGTGAAGCATTCCAAGAGTTGCCGTCTGCTAACAGCTGGAGGCTGGCACTAGGACTGCTCCTGCATTACACACTTAAGGTGATAAAAACTGAAGACTGAGTTATAATGAAAAGATTAAAGCAGGAATCTATGGTGGATGGGGGGTGGGTGTTTCTCATCTGTATGAGGGGGTGGGAGCCCTGAGGGAAGCTTGCATCCTGCCTGGGTGCTCTGTGGCAATATAGCCCACTGTGAGCCAGTTAGGTGCTTGAAACATACAGTCAGGCAAGCTAGCGCCCGATGGCCCAAGACTTGTCTTCTGAGTGGCTCTGCTGGCTGGGGATGATGGCAGCTGTAGTCCAGTATATGCACAGAGCGGGGAACGCTGTTCTGAGGTAACTGAGACAGTTGTGCTAACACTTGCTGTGCAAGTAGCAATCTTTCGTACAGATATATTTTCCTTTCCTGATAATCATTCTGAGGTACAAAGATGGTCCATTCCAGAGAGGTGAAAACACGGCATGGCAGTTTTGGGGTGGTGGTGGCATTGTCCATGGCCTGTCCCACCAGCCACCTGTCCCCACCCCACAAGGACCTCTCTGTTGATCTGTACCAAATGTTCCTTGGTGAGCCTTCTGTTGTTTTCATTCAATAATTAATGAAGCACTGTATCTTGGTGCATTGTTTGAAAAACGATGCATGCGCTGGATACATTGGCTCACTTTAGTTGAAAGGAAACATTCAAAACAACCTGATTAAGCAGGGGTCAAGTTGTTATATTCGTTAGCTGCAGTCTGTGCAAGAAGGCTGTGCCCACATATGTAGGGATCCCTGAAGGATTTCCATGGGCTGCCAGTACACTCCCAGTCTTGAGTTCAAGGTGTTGACGGTGAGTTATAAAGCCCTAAACAGCTTGGGGTCTGGGCTAGTTTGGTGAGGAACCTGCCCCATCACTAAGACCTGCTGGGGAAACTCTCCTCCGTGTCCCACCACTGAGAACAGCTCATTATGTGGAAACACAAGGGGAGGGAGTTCTCTGTCATAGCACCCCCAACTGTGGGATGCCTTCCCTTGGAGGCTCAATCAACACCAATGTTGGCACCAAGTCAAGACCTGCTTATTAGAACCTCTGGGTGTTGAGGATCGTGGCCTGCAACTGTTTTAACGTTTCAGTTTTGTGCTGTTTGGTTTACAATTGTTTCTGCATTAAAACAGTTCTATACAGTTTTTAAAATTGAACTGAGATCTTAGATATATGGTGGGATATAAATGTTCCCTGGTGTATAAAGTATAAAGGAATAAACTGGGAATCCCAGTATAAAGGATTCCCAGTGTGGTATAGTGATTGATGGACTAGAACTCAGGAGAACAGGGTTCAAATTCCTACTTGGCCATGGGAAGTCACTGGGAGGGGGGTGGAACTGAAATATCTCACTGTGACGTTTGCCCTCGTGGCCCCTGCTGGTTTCCCCAAACAGAGCTCACCAGGTACCCCAGCACACCCTCTGATACGCTGCCACCAGTTGATCTCTTTTACCAACTTATTTTACTTAGCAAAGACAAAGGTCCACCCAGTACTGACTTTTCAACAAAACAGGTTTATTAATTACAGGTGGTTTCTGGAATAATTCATAAGCACATTCTTCAAGATTCATCAATCATCAATCTTAACCTTCTCTATTAATCATCACAGGTTACACTCTAATTAATCACTCCTCAGGCCCCCAAACTATCTTTCTCTCTCTGATTCCAGATTCCAACACACTGACTGACTGACTCCTCTCAGGCTCTGCCTTTTAACATTTCTTTTGGCCCCACCTCTTAACCACATTAACATGTAACATGAATAATGCATAACTTTTACAATGTATAACTTAGGGTGAACGCTACACTCACTTACCTTGGAAACCCCATTAGGGTTGCTATATGCCATTTCTGACTTGATGGAGCAGAACACACATACATGTTTAAAAACAAAGCGAGAGAACTGTAAGGAGCTAAATCTACTGTTAATCCTATATACAGTAGACCTGCTGAAATGAATGGGATTTGCTAATCAGTTTAAAGTCTATTGATTATTACTGCGTCTACACTCGCTAGATTAATGCAGGATATAGCTTGTAGACTCCCTAACCAGGAACCTCACACTTGATACAAATCATGTATTTACAGGCTTTTTAATCTCAAGATGTGTGTGAGGCGAGCTGTAACATGAACACACGTTGGGCTAGGCCCGGAGAGATGCCTTGTACACATGCATCATAGGAACCCTGTCTGCTTGTGGATGTGCACATCTCTTTAACTGCACAACTCCATGTTTCAAACCAGTATTAGTAGGTAAGAAAACCTCATCTTTCAGGAACTACTCTGAAGTAGTTTTCTGCAAATGATCAGCCTATTGGTTGAGTGGGATATAATTTGTCTTAGGCCAATATGCCATACTTTTAATACTGCAAACTGATGCTCGTTCTGTTCTCATCTTCAGCCTATCATTTGCCCATGCCAGCAGGAACCCCAGAGGCACAATATTGAGGGTTTTTTTCATTGTTGGATAGTTCATGTCGCCTAGAGCAGGCTATGCAAACCCGTCAGACTGAAATTTTATCCTTGGTTACCATGAGGTTCTGTTGAACTAAAGAGTTTAGTTCAGAGTACACATAGAGAGGACTGCATGCCTCGTGTTGTGTAATTGCATTTAAGGCAACCTAATAAGCAGACTGAATTGTTTAAAGTATTTTCTGGCAAGGATAGTGAGTCCAGTGCCTTAATGTTCGGCCTATAATAGATCTGAACTGCAAAGATGGCTTTAGCATGGAGACAGTAATCTGAGCCAACAAAGACCTTCTGGAGACAACGTTTAAAAATTGAGACAAGTTTTATTTGGCATATCACACAAAGCGCCCTGTGTCTTCTGCAGTCCACAAAAGCTTCAGCCAAATCAGTTGTTCATACCGGTAGCACCACAAGAGTGCTGTTGTTCTTACAACAGGCCAATTCAACCACACAATAAAGGTAAAGGTTCCCCTTGACATTTTTTAGTCAGTCGTGGGCGACTCTAGGGGGCGGTGCTCATCCCCGTTTCCAAGCCGTAGAGCCAGCGTTTGTCCGAAGACAGTTTCCGTTGTCACGTGGCCAGAGCAACTTAGACCTGGAACGCTGTTTACCTTCCCACTGAAATGGTACCTATTTATCTACTTGCATTTACATGCTTTTGAACTGCTAGGTTGGAAAGGAGCTGGGACAAAGCGACGGGCGCTCACTCCATCGTGTGGATTCGATCTTACGACTGCTGGTTTTCTGACCCTGCAGCACACCAAGGCTTCTGCGGTTTTGCCCGCAGCGCCACCACGTCCCTCACAATACTGACATAAAAAACGAACTAGTTTGCACTTTGCACCTCTTTTAACATTACTGTACTTATAAAATCTATCATCTGAAGGAAGCTGCTCCAGCCTGCCCAATGGTAGGGCCTGGCCTTGTGAAAGGTTAGCACATTTCCCATGAACCAGGTCACTATCAAGCAGCAAATAGTACCTTACAAGAGGGAAGGATGTTTGAGCATGCACATGGTGAAGATGGCCACAGATGGTTTTTTTCATTCGTGTGCCAGAGTGGAGCCCCCACAACTACATTTCCTAAAGAAAGTGACAGTACTGGTTTTTAGGGCACTCATTAGAAATACTTCTAACATATTAAAATGGTTGCTTTTGAGCAACAGAAGGAGACCTCAACTGGCACAATGAAATAATAATGTTTTGAAAGCAAAATTGTAAACATTATTTTCTAAAAGTTAATTTTAAAAGATTAGGCATATCTACTTAACATAACAGTGATGTGAACTCTAATTTTAAGAAGGGTAGCCATATTGTGTTAACTCCAGGGTGTTATGCT